AGACATTCTCTGTCGAACAGTTTAAATCCAGCTTTTCAGGTCAGTCACCGTCTCAGGGTGTTTTTGAGTTCTGCCAAAGCATTTAACAAACTGTTTTTATGGGGAAGAAACCCTGAGAGTTGGAAGGGCTTTTGTCGCCTCGTCCAGGTCCCGGAGGAAAAAAATTCAGATTTTTAGATGAAGGGAGTTGACACCTGCGGACCAGCTAGAGTGAGCCAGGCTCGTTGTTATCCTCTGAGAAGCCCTGCAGGGAAAATGCTGTCGCCCTGTTTTGCTGATGTGTAACGTGAGGGCCGTGAAGATTAATTAGATGACTTCCCCGAGGACCTGAGACTTGCAAGTGGTTGAAGTCCCAAGTAATTTTATTATTTATGCTTCATCATAGGTGGGGGGCAAGACTGAAGGCCGTGTAGAACACTTTGGACTTATTCTGAACCCTTTCTCCAGATGTTACAAGGTGATGGTTGGTAGGCTGAGATGAGCCTCTCAAAGGCCTGAGAACCTCTCTCAGGCTGACGTAAGTAACCCTCGGAGGTAATGGAAATGCCTGAGAAGAGATTGAGATACTGGAAGACTCACTGGGCTCCGGAAGGTGAAACACCGCTCACAGAAATATTAATTTAAAAAAAATTCCTTACTGGTAAGCATATTTGGATGGTGAGACTTTTCGTAAGACAAGTGAAGTCTTCTCAGGCTTATGCCTACTATATTTTACACAGAAAAGGGGGGTATGGGAAATTTGCCGTTTTTGTCAAAGTATCATTTAAAAAATACAGGAGCATGTGTCAAAGATTTACCTAACCCATTAATTAGGGAACCAGCAGGATGATAAAAAAGAATTTGAAAAACTGGTTTATAGAGTCAGTGTAAAAACGTGAGCCATGGCCGCAGAGCCTGTGCGTCCGGAGCCTGTGTTCTGCAACGGGAGAGGCCACAACAGTGAGAAGCCCGCGTACCGCAAAAAAAATGATAAAAAGAAAAAAGAAGAGAAACGCGGAAGCCCAGTCAAGACCTCACCTAAAGCTGTAATCACCCTGTGATATGAGCAGGTTCCCCCAGTGCTTATGAAGGCTTTGGGAGGGGGACGTCCCATCTGGTTAGATCTTAGAGTATTGACTGCAGGGGAGGGGTCTGCCTAGGAGGGGAGTTGATCCTGTTCTGCGTGCAGAGAATCCCTGATACCCCCTCGTGGCCGCAGGTGCCCGGGAGGAGCTGTCCGCCGCTGTCATGAGTCTTAGGGGCACGGTGTTGTGCTCAGTGTTGGAGCTAAATGTTTCCTTTTTAACATTACAGAGTAGAATCTACCATGTTTGACACTCCTGCAGTCGTAGTATTATTTTAATTTCCGATCTTTAAACCATCAGGTGCTGTTATAATGATGTGTGAAAAGCCTGTCGTGCTCAGTCACGAGGGACATTCTGACATCGTTATTTAGTTAACCATGCAGACCGGAAGCCGGAAGCACCCGGGCTCCCTCTGTCTCACTGACACATCACTTCTGTTGGTTGCTATGTCCTGGTGATCCTGCCTCCTAAGTATTTCTTCATTTCCCCCCCTTTTCCCCTACCACTGTCTTACCTCAGGCACTTATCATGTTTGGGTTACTGTTGCTTAGATTACTGGGTTCCTATAACAGCCACTGACCGGTTTTGCTGATCTCAGCCCTGCATCTGCAATCCACTCTCTTCCTGCTTCCTGACTGATCTCCCTACCTTGTAAACCTGACACGATACTCATGATTCTCCCCTAATCATCCCCGCTTGGCTGAAAATCTCACAGTGGGACCCCTTCGCCTCCGAACAAATCCAAACTTCTTAGCCTGACGTATACAGTCCTCAAGACTTGGCCCTAGCCTACGGCCCAGTTTATCTCTCACCAGCCCCACACTTGAACCTTTTCGTTTCCGGTGAACTTGGGATGCTCAGTTTCTCTCTCTGTATTTGCATGTTCTCTCATTCCAGGCACTATCTTATCCAGGAAGTCTCCTCTGACCCTCCACTGGGTGTGTCCCCTCCTTCTGTGATTTCACAGGAGATCTCCGGTGATCTTCTCAGGCTTCTCTTTCTCAAAGTAGCTGTCACTATGTTATGTGTGTGCTGAGTCATTTACTCACCCAAGGGACACCCGGGGAAGTCTCCTACCCTTACGGTAAACCCCACTGCCCTTCTCCTGACACACTCCGTGACACAAAATACCCTGTGAATGTGTGTTAAAAGTTCTTATCTCCGCCATATTTTTCCATGTTTGATAATATGTTGTGAGTAAATTGCTACCTTTTTATTAAGTTGTCAGAAGGAATTAACATCAGTGTTTCTGTGCTTTGAAATATTTCTTTTTCAGTGAGTGGTAGCTCACGGAGAAAGAATTTGACTATTGCTAGGTTCCTGCAGTAAAACAAACTAGAAAAAGTGGCACCAAGGAAGCTGTGGTATTATTAACTCTATAAATTTCTGGGGGGAAAATATGTTATGTCTTCCGTTAGTCGTTAAAGATCGTTAGTCACGTTCTGTGTTCTGTATCGCAACTGTTTCTTGCAATGACATTGCTTGAGATCAGTTAAACCTATGCTGCTATGATGCTTTCTTTTCCAAATTAATTGCTCTTTTTTTTTTCCTAGTTAGGCTTTGTATCATCTTCCTACACAACCTTGTATGTTCATGTCAGAGATATTAATGGTAGTCTTCTGGAATCTTATATGCATTTGAGTGTTCTTTCCTAGTTCCAATAGTTGTGATTTAGAGAAGAAAGACATTTCAGAAGTAAACATTTGACCCACTGTTCTACCCCTGCTGTAGTTCTCATCACCTGTGGGATGTGTTCATTCACCCAAGGCTGGTTTTATCCACTTTTTGGGGGGTGTTTGTGCAAACATTAAACCAGCCTTGGGCTCTAGGATTACTTTTCAACTGGCAAAGAAATCTCCCTCAGGCATCCCTGTCTGAGAATGATTGGAACCGATAGATATTATTGTATAAGTAATGGCAGGTTTTTTTCCAGGGTCCTCCCAGTTCTTCATGTTTACACCAAAGCTTAACTTATAACCTGTCCAAATGCATAGAAAAGAACAAGAACAATGGCCACAATAAAAAGTCAGCTGAAAAGAGCCACAAAAAAACCATAGGCTCTGTATTCAGCACAGTGTTATATAGTATACGTTGGTTCCAGGGTTTTGAAAGAGAGCATCCCTGTTTGGTGGAACAGAGGGCATCCTTGCTGACCAGCAAAGGTGACCCAGACTCTCCTTTCTGTATAAGAAAGTTTAAAGTTCTATTCATAAATCACCACTTTAAGACTTTAAAAAAAGATTGAAAAGACACAGTCCATCCTCACTATTCTCAGATTCTTTATTTGAGAATTCACCTAACTTGTGAAAATTTATTCGTAACCTCAAAATCAGTACCCCCGGGGCTTCCTCTGTTATTTGCAGACACGTACAGACTTGAGTCTCCCTGCACGCGTGTTCCCAGCTGAGACTGATCAAGGAGACCTCTGCCTTCTTGTTCTATCCCACACTGTAAATACATGTCCTTTTTGCGGTCTATTTAGTATAATGTTTTCCACATTTTTGTTTTTTGTTGTTGGTAGTGGTGGTGCTGAGAGTGATTCTGCTGTTTAAATGGTCCCCAAGTCTAGTGCGAAGTGCTGTCCAGTGTCCCTAAGAGCAAGAAGGCTGTGACATGCCTTACGGGGAAAATACATCATTCAGGCATGAGCTACAGCGCTGCTGGCATGAGTTTGATCCTAATGAATCAACAATATATATTAAATAAGACGTGTTTAAACAAAAATACATATCAAACAAGGTTCTGTGTTGACCAGTTGATGAAAATGTTTTGACCAGAGGCTCACAGGAACCTGGCCCTGTGTTTTTCCTAGGAGCCATGGGTCGGTATCCACTAATTCAGTATTCACTAACTACATTGACTTTGGAGAATCTAACTTCCATGAATAACAAGAATTAACTGTCTATGCAGTAGTCAGAGCTTGGGTTCTCCTAGAAGCAGACCCCAAGAAAGGAGTTTGTTTGGTAAATGATCCCAGGAAGCATTGGTGTGAGGTAGGAAAGTAAGACAGGAGAGCAGAGGCAGCCAATAAAGGGTGAATTATCAGCAAATTACTTCCATAGGCAACTGATGGTCAACGCAGGCAGCTCTGGGAGCCAGTGAAGAACATGTGCCTTGGAGTTTAATTCCCTTATGGTCCAAGAACAGAGTCTGTATGAATTCAGTTCCTTTAGATTTGCTCAAGTTTGTTTAGCAAACCATACGTTGAGAGCATATGGTCTATCTTGGTGACGTTTCCACGTACCTTAGAAAAGAATGGGTATTCTATCACGATCCGATGGGTATTCTCTAAATGTCACCTACTGATTTTCTGTCCGCTTGTTTTGTAGATTTCTGAGAGAGGGATGTTGATGTTTCCAAGTACAATTGTGAATTTACCTATTTCTCCATTCAGTTCTATCAGTTTCGGCTTCATGATCTGTTGTTAGGTGCATACAAATTGATGATTGTATGTCTTCTTGATGAATTGACTGTTCTATCATTATGTATTGTCCCTTTTAATCTCTGATAAATAATTTTCCTTGATATGAAGCATAATTTATTTGATATTAATATAGACAATACAACTTTCTTTTCTTTGGGATTTATGTGGTTTATCTGTTTCCAAACTTTTAATGTATGTATTGGATTGGCCAAAAAGTTCGTTCGGGTTTTTCTGTAACAGCTTATGGGAAAACCCGAACGAACTTTTTGGTCAACCCAATATATCATCATATTTAAAGTCGGTTTCTTGTAGACAGTATATAGGTTTCTTTGGTTTAAATCCAATCTCACCATCTTTGTTTTTGAAATGGTGTGATGTAATGTGTTTATCCATATAGTTGAATTAGTCCCACCATTTTGTGATTTTCTGTTTGTTTCCTCCGCTTTTCCTTCTTCTGTTCCCCCTTTCTGCCTTCCTTTGAGTATTTTTTTAGTATTCTATTTTAATATATCAGTTAGTTTTTTGGCTATATCCCTTTGTGTTTTTTTTAGTGGTTGCTCTAGGGATTATAATACACAGGTCTAAGTTTTTACAGTCTAGCTAGAGTTAATTTTTTTTTTTTACAGCTTCAGGTAAAACCTAGAAGGCTTGCAACCACATAGGTCTCTTTACCCTCCCCCTTTATCTTACGGTGTCACATGTATCGTATTTACATACACTGACAGCTTCCCAGACAATGTTAAATTGTTGCTTTCAGCCTTCATACATATTTTAGAGAACTTAAAAAGAGAAAAATATCACTTAACCAGACATTTATCATTTTTATTGTGCTTCCTTCATTCCTGAAATTCCAAGTTTCCCTCTGGGAATATATTCCTCCAGTGGAAACTTCCTTTAGCAATTTCTCTTAGAGCAAACACACCCGCAGTGAATTCTTTTGTTTTCCTTCACCTGAGAATACCCTTATTTTACCTTCACCCCTGAAGGATGTTTTCACTGCATATAGAATTCTGCATTGGTATTTCTTTCAGCCCTTTAAAGATTTCACTCCACCGCTTTTATGAATTCTGACAAGGAATCCTTTGTATTCTCTAGCATCTGTGGTATTTGATTATTATCCCCCTGCACATAATGTATCATTTTGCTACGGCTGCTTTCAAGACCTTATCTTTGGTTTTTAGCAGTTTAATTTTGATGTGTATATGCGTGGGTTTATTTATTTTTTTGAGTTTACCTTGTTTGGGGCTCCCTGAACTTCTTGAATCTCAAAATTTATGTCTTTCACTAAATTTGAGGAGTTTTTAGTCATTATTTCTTCAAATATTTTGACTGTCACATCTTTCTCCTCTTCTTAGGGACTCCAGTGATACGGGTGTTGTCCCACAGGTCCCTGTGACTGTTTATGTTTCTGCCCTTTTTCTGTCTGTTCTTCAGGTTGGATCATTCCTATGGCTCCATCTTCAAGTTCAGGGAACTTTTTCTGTCATCTCCATTCTGCTCTTGCGCCTCCCAAGTGCCTTGTTTCTTTCAGACATTCTATTTTTCAGTTCTAAAATTTCCATTTGGCCCTTTCTTATAGTTTCTCTTTTTCTGCTGACAGTTTATCTTTATTTTCGTTTTAGAAGTGCTCACACTTACCTCGTGGAGGAAGGTTATAATGGCTGCTTCCTGTTGGTTTCATTTTACGTTGCGTCATTCTGTTTGGTTTCTTGCATTTGGCCCCTTGGATTTTCTGTTTCTGATGCGCCTGCTTTGGGCTGCCCACCCCTCACTGCCCAGTACTGCATTGGGCAGTGCTGCACTTGATGATGCCATATCTTGGGTTCTCAGCTAGGCTATTAGATCTCTGCTGATTAGAGTAGGACCATTGATTCTCCTTCTTCAACAGTGTCTTTGATCCTGCTGAACAATTTGAAGTAAATTGAAGTAAGCGGATTCATTGTAGAAAATTCACAAGGCCAACCCAGCTACTGTAATACTTTGTTTATTACAATATGATTATTATCTTGAATAACTCTTTTCGTTCTAAGCATCTGTGGGATCTCATGGGAAAGAAATATGGTGCACATTCCCTACCACCCAGCATTTTCAGCCCAATTAAAATTGCAGGCAGCCTTCATGAATATCATTGTGTGCTTTACAGAGACTCCACAGGTACCCAGCCCAGATGGAATTAACCCATTAGTGTTGCTGTCAATCACAGGAAGTTGACACAAAGTGTTTATTAACATTATTGACCTAAAAAGAAGGATCTGCCGTTCATCTGCCATGGTCACCTGCTTCATTAACTTATTGGCAGCATTTAGCAAGGCTGGAAAATTGATTGGTTGATTCATTCATTCATTCCCTCCTTCAGCAGACATTTTTGTTTTTTTTCTTTTTGCCATGCTGTGCAGCATGCAGGATCTTAGTTCCCTGACCAGGGATCGAACCTGCGCCCCCTGAAGTGGAAGCGCGTAGTCTTAACCACTAGACTGCTGGGGAAGTCCCAGCAGACATCTTTGGATCGTTCGTTATGTGTCAGGCGGCAGCAGCAGAGGATTCTGCTGGAGTGCAGCTGAGCCCTGGGTGCCCACGGAGTGAGGAGTTTGTTGAGGAGAAGCTGTGGAACGGCAGGTCTCCACTCTTTCTGCTGACGCAGAGAAGGGAGAGTGAGGCTCCAGTAGAACCGGTCCAGGAAGCCACAGGGGAGGGAGGGTCTTAGGACCCATATTTGCTGTAACAACATCAGTAGGAGTTCAGTAACTCTTAAGTTCAATAACTTAAGTTGAGCAATACGGGAAAGCCGCAATGTGCCACGCGTATCATCCAACATTACCACAGAGGTCGGTACAACTATGTTTGTTATTTTACAGATCAAGAAATTGAAGCACAGAGAGCCTAAGTAGCTTGCCCAGCGTCTCCCAGTTACCAAGTGGATGATCTGCTCTGGAAGCTCAGACGCTGAACCACAGTGTTTTCTCTGTGTGATCAGAGAACCAAGGACATGGATTATGGTGAAAACATACATACAGAGTTTCTGGTAAGCAATACTTTTTTTAAAGTCAGAAAATACAAATATTGTGTCAAAAAAAATCAAACACCTTATTATTTTAATCCAAGTGAGTCTCCTCTGTGTTAAATTGGATTCAGATAAATGAATTTGATATAAATGGAAAAGGATTACAGATTAGAGAGGTTTGATGGAAAACTCCCAGGAAAATATGTTTATGGGTTTAAGACCATCTGACATTAATATGTGGAGATTTTTATTAACGGAAAAGGATGAAATTAATGAACTGTAATTATTGCTGATTGTTTTTTTAATTGTGCCAAAATACACGTAACATCAAATTTACCTTCTTAGAGCCTTTTAAGGATACAATCCAGCTGCTTCAAGTGCAGTGACAACACCGGGCGTCCAGTCGCCAGAAGTTTCCATGTAGCCAAAATGAAACTCCGCACCCATGAAACAGCAACTCCCTATTCGTTCCTCTCCCAATCACCTCTCTACTTTCTGTCTGCGAATTTGACTCCTCTAGGGACCTCATATGAGTAAAATCATACAATATTTGTCTTTTGCAATGGGAATATTTCACTTACCATGATGTCTTCAAGGTTCATCCACATTGTAGCCTGAGGTGTCAGAATTTCCTTCCTTTTAAAGGCTGAACCATATTGCACTGTATCTGTAGATGACATTTTGTTTATCCATCCATCTGTTGATGGACACTGCTTCCACCTTTTGGCTGTTGTGAATAATGTTGTGTGAACTTAGGTGTACACTACTTTTAGTTCTTCTGGATGTATGCCCAGTTGTTGATTATTTTTAACCAAGGTTCTCCAAATAGTTCTGAGTCTCTTTCCCAGCAGATAAGCTATCTGTTATGATAAGTAGGGAGAATAGGTAATTTCTGCAAATTTTCTGGGGGGATCCTCTCTTGGTTTACAAATTGTATGACTTAGCTTTCCATTTTCTTTTATTTTTTCACTTTTTTTCATATTGAAATATAGTTGATATACGATATGAGCTTTCTGTTTTCTTACTAGAAAAGTAAGACTAGAAAATAATTGTCCTTCATTGAACCAATTGAGTTAAGAGAGTTGTGATTAACTATTAACTCGGGCCCATAATTTCTGCCCCAGAGCAAGTTGAAAGGCTCTGAGAACCTCCTCGCTTTGGAGGCTGTCCCACCAGAGTGAAGACATTCAGATGGAGAAGACTGCTGCCTTGGTCGTCACCTGTCCATTAAATACAGAGCGCCATCCAGACCCCCTTCAGGCAGAGGGCTGGAAGCAGTGCGGGCACTAGCTGCCTTGGTGTGGGAATGAAGAGACCATGAAAACCCTTTGGGCCAGTCTCTGACCTCTGATATCCTTCAGTTTCCATTCCTCTTCAGCGAAAAGAATCAGATTGGTCTGAGAGGAGAGACCACCTTCTTGTTTTGCAGGTCTTAGGAGAGTTGAGGAATCTTTTTTTTTTCCCAGCCTTAATCCACGTGGCACATGTGTATTTGGATGAGAAAGGGTGCCTCAGCTGGGCATATGCAGCCCCATGAGAACCTGGCTTGGCGAACTCAGCTGGCTTGACTTCGGCCCTGCCCTTTGTCCCTTCGTCCAGGTGCCCTGAGATAACACGCACCTGTGCACACCTGTGCTTGTTTCACGGCCCTCTGGTGGCCCTGAGATGAGGTACGTTATGAGACAGTAAATGTTTTGTTCATTATGCAGAGTGCCTGGTTGTTTGGCCCAGGGAAGAGTACAGAACTCTTCCGACAGGCAGACTCGGGAGAGCTGGAGATGGGAGCTGCCACTGTGGTCCGGGGTGGGCAGGGGAGGCCTTGGGGCTGTGGAGAGATGTGGGTATGTGGCAAGTGGGGAAAGATGCTCTATCTTCAGAAGATATTTTATCCGATTCCTGTTGTGAGCCAAAGCCCACACTACCCAGTACAGAGCAGGCCTTTAGATCAGCAGTAGGCACTGTTGTAGGGTAGACACTATAGTATGCTTTTTTGATCTTCTTTGGGAATGCCATAGAAGGTAGAGAGCTCTAAAATTATGTGTCTTTCAGAGGATTCTACTCTTTAATATATTCAAGGGAATAAGGACTCAGTGGAAGTGTATATTTTCAAAGAGAAATAGTAGATAAAACTTGAGATGATCCATGGGCTGTTTCACCTTTTCTGTCACTAATGCTGGGTATTTAAAGGCAATAAATTCCTTCCTAACTCAAATAAAGTAATGGCAGATACACCAAAGGCCATAAATCTTTTTAATGTAGCTGGGGTTAATTTGCTTAATTGTATATTCCTAAGCAACGATTTCTTAAAACTTTGTACTCAATTGATTTTCAGAAGCTAGGATCAACTCTGTCGCTGCTCTACCTTTTTGAATTCATATTGAATACTAATTGCAGATCTCAAGCCCATCAAGAAATGATTACATTGAATCTGGATAACTATATTCCTTTCTATTGAAATTTTCCACAGGAAAATGTTTACTTTTTTGATAAATTACAGATATTGAAAATTGCAGTTCATTCCTCAGCGTCTTCGGGAGGTGCTTATGAGTGGTTGCCGTGAGCCAGGTGTGTCCTAAACACCAGGAAGATGGTGGTGAACCAGAGCCTTGCTTCCAGGGAGCTCACATTCTGCTGCAAGGAGGTGAAAAATAATAGACAAATAAAATAATTTCAATATTAAATATCGTGTAGAAAATACACCAGGGTCCTGATTTTAAAAGGTGCTGGCTGGGGCTTTGTCAAGAAAGACTTCTCAGAGGAGGTCGGGTTTGAGTTGAAAGCCAGATGATGGCAAGAAGCTACACATACGAATGTCTGAGGGGAGAAGGTGCCCAGCAGAGGGAACCAGTGCCAAAGCCCTGCACCAGGAAGAAGCTTGGGAGTTCAAGGAACAGAGGAGAGACTGCTGAGGCTTTAATCTAGCAAGAGATGGGGAGGAAGGACAAAGCCAAGGAGGAAGAGTAGGAAATGACCATATCATTTAGGACCTTGTAGGTTATGTTCAGAGTTTGGATTTTATCCTGAGATTAAAGAGAAATTATTGGAAAAGTTTAAGTAGGAAGATGTCTTGAAAAGGCCAGTCTGGAGGCAGAGTTGGAAATGGATGGAGGAGCGAAACAGCAGTCAGGGGTCAATTTAATTCAGATAAGAGATGAATTTGAACCAAGGTGGAGCAGTGAAGATGGAGAGAAGGAAGTCGACTTGCCATGTGTTTTGGACAGAGAGCCTTCAGGACCTTAGGACGAATGGATGGCTGTGGGGTATGAAAGAGGGATATGAGTTAAGGATAACTTCTAGGCATTGGCTTGAAGGTATATGGTGGTGCTATTTAGACAAAATTGAAGACTAGGAGAAGGACAGTGGAATGAAGTGGGAGTGAAGGATTCATCTTGACGTGTTACCATAAGATGCATACCAGAGCAACGTTAGGGAATAATTAGAATAGAATATGATGCAGCTGTTATAAAAACTGCACTTTTGACTTCCAAGTGGAGGCGTTAAGTTGCAGTTAAGATGCTTAAGTTCAGCCATAGTTCTCGTGCTTGATACTGAGAGGGACCAAAGTGGAGCAGACAGCATCTCTGCCCCCAGCAGCTTTCCGTGTACTGTGGGATTCAGATAACTAGGTAAGTTAACAGGAAGCTTTAACTTGTAGGAATTTTAACTGCTGGAAGCAGCCCTGAGAGCCCCATGGCCTGTAGAAATGTGCCGGAGAGGTATGCACCTCCTGAGGGCGGCTGGGAAGATGGCTGGCTGGCCTCAGGCTGAGCCGCACGGCTGGGCTGCAGCAGAGTCACTCACACTGGCCTCGCCAGGCTGCCTCGGATCTTATCTGCATCTCAGCAGTGTCTCTGGTTTTAAGGTTTCCAGTGAGCTCAGAGCCTTGAGGTGAGGTCTGAGCAGGGCCCAGGGGGATGGGAAAGTCCTATTAGGATCTCCACTGCTGCATCTGCATCCTACAGATTTTGATATGTTGTATTTTCATTTCCATTGTGTTAAAAATACTTTCTAACTTTCCTTCTGATTTATTTTTTATTATTTTTAAATTGAAGTATAGTTGATTTACAGTTTTGTATTAATTTCTGCTGGACAGCAAAGTGACTCAGTTATACATATATATATATATATATGTATACATACACCTTCTTTTTAATATTCTTTTCCGTTATGATATATCCCAGGACATTGAATATAGTTCCCTGTGCTGTACAGTAGGACCTTGTTGTCCAACCATCCTATATGTAATAGTTTGCACCTTTTGATTTATTTTTGACCCATGGATTATTTGGAAGTATACTATTTAGTTTCCAAATATTTGAGGATTTTTTTTTCAGAGATCTTTCTACTATTGATTATTAACTGTGGTCAGAGAATGTACTTTATGTGACTTGCGTCCTTTAAAACATGTTGAGGCTTGTTTTACGGCCCAGAATATGGTCCGTCTGGTAAATGTTATGTGTGCCCTTAAAAACGTGTATTTTACGATTGCTGCATACAGTATTCCATAAACGAATTCAATGCGGTTGATTTGGCTGATGGTATTGTTCAGGTCTTTTATAGCCTGTTGGTTTTCTGTTTATTTTTTCTACCGCTTGTTGGCAGAGGGCTACTGAAGTCTCTCACTATCACTGTGACTTCTTCTGTTAATCTTTGTAGTTCTATCAGCCTTTTCTTCTATATTTTAAAGCTTCCTTATTACATGTGTAAACATTTAGGATTGTTATGTTCTCTTAATCATTATCTTGACACCTTTATCATGATAAAATAATCCTTTTTATCTCTGATAATATTTGTTGCTCTGAAACCTACTTTGTCTGATGTTAACATAGGCGCTTTGGCTTTCTTTTGGTTACAGTGAGCGTGATATATCTTTATCCACCCTTTTACTTTTAACTTACTTATGTCTCTTTACTTACAGTGAGTTTCTTGAAGGCAGTGTGTAGTTGAGCAGTTTTTATCTTTTAATTCAGTACAGCAATCTCTGCCTTTTAATTGGGGTGTTAGACCACATACACTTAATGTGATTATTGATATGGTTGGGTATAAATCCACCATCTTGCTGTTTGTTTCCTATTTTTTCCATCTGTTTTTTGTTTGTTCCTTTGTTCCTCTCTTTTCTGCCTTTTTTGGCAGAAAAGATTGATTTTATTTTATCTCATTTTTTATTATATATTATCCCGTTTGTTGGCTTATTAGCTATTATTAGCTGTAAGCTTTTGTTCTCTCAGTGGTTGCTTTAGGGTTGACAGTGTGCATCTCGTTTCATCACGGTGTATCTTCACACGATATCGCACCACTTCACATATAGTATCAGAACCTGAAACTGCACACTTCCAATAGCACAAAGATGTGCTATTGTCACATCTTTCACGTCTGTGTATGTTATAAATGCCACAATACACGTTTATTGTTAATTATCTTTTAAAGAGATATAAATAATAGGAAAAAGAGTCTTTATATTTACCACGTAGTCACCGTTTCTGGTTCTTGGGTTTTTGACGTAGACCCAGATTTCCATCGGGCGGCATTTTCCTTCTGCCTGAAGGATTGCTTTGAATACTTCTTGAAGTGCAGATCTGCTGGCAATGCATCCTTTCAGCCTTTGTATGTCTGAAAACAAACCTTTATTTTGGTTTAATTTTTTAAAATTTTAGACTAATTTTAGATTTACAGAAAAGTTATAAAAAATAATAGAGAGAGCACCCATATGCCCCTCACATGGCTTCCCCCGATGTGGATAACTTACGTTGCCACTGTACAGTATATGTGTCAAGAAACCAATATTGATACATTACTATTAACTAAACTCTATCCAGATGTCGCTTGTTTTCCCACTAATATCCCTTTCCTTTTCCAGGATCCCATCCAGGGCACCACGTGGCATTTGGTCATGTCCTGAGTCTCCTCTGGTTGGCGACAGTTTCTCAGCCTTCCTTTGTTTTTCATGACCTTTCCAGCATTGAGGAGTACCAGTCAGGTATTTCACAGAATGTTCCTCAATTTGGAGTTGTCTGATGTTTTGTTTATGACTGGACTGGAGCCATAGGTCTCTGGGGAGGATCTCACAGAGGTGAAGTGGCCTTCTTCTCGCATCGTGTCGGGGTGCTTTCTGCCAACACAGCTTCTCACTGTGATAGTAACCCCGATCACTTGGTGAAGGCGGCGTTTGCAAAGTTTCTGCGGTACAATTACTACTTCCCCCTTTTCATACTCTGTTCTTTGGAGGCAAGAACTGAGTCCAGCCCGTGCTTGAGGACGTAGGAGGTGAAGCTTCATGTTGTGGACAGGGAGTAGTTGCTTAAGTGATTTGGAATATTCTGCAAGGAATATTGGCCTCTTCCCTGCCATTTTAAAATTTGAGCCATCATTTATTTATATCACCGGGGTAGGCGGAATATCAGCCCCTCCAAAGATGGCCACGGCCTAATCCCTGGAGGCTGTAAGTTTGTTACCTTACACAGCAAAAGGGATTTTACAGGTGGGACTGAGTTAGGGATCTTGAAATGGGAGGTTATCCTGGTTTATCTGGTGGGCCCAGTGGAATCATAGGTATCCTTTTAAGAGGCAGGTAGGAATTTCTGCACCTGTCTCGTTGTTTGGCTCTGCTCGCTGATGCTCAGTCCTGTGAACTTTAGCTGCCTTGGCCTCCTTGGACTCCCAGTTCTAATGTCTCCTCAGCTCAGCGAGACCCTGGGCTCTGACTGGGTCTCCTTTTCTGTACCAGGGTCTGGAAAATTTCTCAAGGCGGGAAGCTGGAGGTCATTGTAGACATCATTTTATTTGTATCCCTTCTCTCTGGGGTGACTGTCCTGTGCTGCCTGTTATCCAGTGTCTGAAAACCTCTGTTTCATGTATTTTGGCCATTTTTCCAGTCATCTCTGGTGAGAGGGTAAATCTGGTCTCCTTGGCCCATTTTGCCTGGAAGTAGAAGTCTTCTTATTCTTCCCACAAATAATTTTTAATGAACGGCTGAACTATAATTTATTTAAGAAGTGTCTGTTGTTTGTGACTGCTGAATGATTTTCATTGTATTGATGTGGAATCAGTTATTTAACGGGCAGCCTATGGTTTGACATTTGGGTCAAGTTTTAGTTTTCCTTTTTATAAACACATCTACGAGACTACCTTGTAGCCACACACTGTGACCTGCATGCTTATTTCCTTATGATATATTTTTAGATACAGAAGACTGGCTCGTGGGGTGTGCAGCACCTAAAACCAGTCTTGTGTTGTCAAGTCGTGCTCCAGAGAGATGGTGCCAACTTACATGTTGCCCACGTGTAACTTCCTCAAAGTCACCTTTTCTCTTGGCTTTTTCATGTCATCTTCTTTGGTACGAACCTCCTCATATTGGTGGGACCCTCTGTCATAATAATTCTGAGTTCCAGAATTATAACATCTGACACTTTGAAAAGATGAATATTTAGACCATCCCATTAGTCTTGATTAACCCTATAGTAATTACATTTCATATTTCTGTGAAAATGTGTAATCTGAGCCATGAAGGAATTTAAAAAAAAAACATGTCAATAGCCCCTAACCTCTCAGTTGGGCTATAGACTGAATGTTTCTGTCCCTTCCGATGTGACGGTGTTAGGAGGTGGGGCCTTTGGGAGATGATTAGGTCATGAGGGTGGGGCCTTCATGAATGGAATTTGTGCCCTTAGAAAGGGATTCCAAGGAGCTCTCTCTCCGCCTTCTGCCCTGTGGGGACACAGCGAGAAGATGGTCATCTGTGAACCAGGAAGCAGGCCCTCAGCAGACACTGAATCTGCCAGACCTTGACTGGACTTCTCAGCCACCAGAACTGGGAGAAAAAGGCTAGCTGTGTGACAACATAGCCCCCAGTCGATGGTATTTTGGCTACAGCAGACTGAGCAGACTAAGACAGTAGGCCCTCAAATTAGAAACACGTAGAAACGTGGGCCAATAGAACAACAGCAAAGAGCAGATGCATTCCACCTGCCTGATCAAACTGCAGCTGGAAGTGAGAGACAAAGCCAGGCTCTCTGCTTGGTGTGGGGAGAGCGGGGCTGGGAGAATGTGGGGAAAACCAACAGCCCAGGACCACACTGCAGTGCTGGCAGGCAAACTGTGCCCTGTCCCTTTTTGCTGTGTATATTTCTTAAGAAGGGTTTATATGTATTTTTTTAATTCCTATTTTTTTTTATTGAAGTGAAATTCACAAAACACAACATAAACCGTTTTGAAGTGTAGAGTTCTGTGGCATTTCGTGCACTCACAATGTCAGGCCACCATCACCTCCAGCTGGTTCCAGGACGTTTTCATCACCCTGAAAGAAAACCCCATTAAGCAAACACCAGTCTGCATGTGGTCTCTATGGATTTGCTTATTCTGGAAATTTCATACAAGTGGAAGCATACAGTATGCTTCTTACGACCGGCTTCTTTCACCAAGAATAATGTTTTCAAGGTTCATCCATGTTGTGACACGCATCAGAACTTCCTTCCTTTTTATGGCTGAATAATATTCCATTGTATGGATAGACCACAATTTGCTTGTCCATTCACCTGCTGATGGACATCTGAGTTATTTCCACCTTTTGGCCATCGTGAATAGTGCCGCTATGTACATTAGCATACAAGTATTTGTTTGAGTATTGGTCCCTATTTTTAACCCAAGTGGGGACATTATATTTGCCTCGATATTTCCCACATTGCAGCTTTGGCTCAACTGTCTTGCTCAGGGGTTCTCAGTACTGTATGCACATCACCCAGGGAACTTTTAACAAATGTATGCTGGGACCCCACCCCCAAACAATGACATCAAATCTTTGAAAGCTCCCCAGATGACTGTACCTGGTGGCCAGGGTGGAACAGCATGGGCCCCTTGCCCAGCGTTCTGAGTTTACCACGCAGCAGACTCACCTGGAGGCCTTGCGAAAACACAGATTTTTGAGATTCTGTCTCGGTAAGTCAGGGGTGGCACACACACGTTTGTATTTCCAGTAAGTTACCAGGTGATGCCGATGCAGGAGCCATGCTTTGGAAATCACTGGCCTCTTGCCCATCAGAACGAGGTGGGGGCATCAGGGTCACTGGGAAGGTCTGGCAAGTCCTTCCGTCTTTCATGCTTTGCTCTGGTTGGCAAAGGCAGCATCTGTATTTTAGAAACTTCCCAGCTCACTTTGCTTACCCCCTCTCCTCCCACTTGCAGTTGAGAACCATCCTTCGAGCTTCCATGTATTTCTGGATACGGCTTCTCCATCCATCCTGTTTCCTACCCCTACCAGCCATGTAAGCCTTCACCCTTGTATTCACGTTGTTCTTCCGTCTAAACGCCTTCCTCCTTCTGTTGTTATGCTTTAGTGGGTGTCTTTCACCCACTAAAGCATCACCCTGATAACTTCTCTGACGTGCTCCCCAGTCCCTGAATTCTCGTTGTATCTACAAGGCTGCGAGGCACTAGGGTGTAGAACACAGCATACTGTTTTCAGTTATTCACAGACTGTTTCATCTGGGCAATGAGTTGCTTTGTGTTTCTTTCATACTCTCCTTGTGCTATGTACTTATTAGGACCCCAGTATAAAGGAGGAAAAGATGTTAGAGTATTTCTCTAGGAGAGCATTTGCCCAGTCGTCCTATTATACAAAGATTGCTAAGTGAGTGACCTTGAATTCTACCCAAGGGGCCTGGTTACCGAAATGCCTTGTCGCAAGGCAACTTGCCTACAAAAGGCTCCACATCACAGATACCAAAGGCAGGGTTTTTGCAGTGGCCAGCTGTGATACTAGGTCTACTTTTTCTACATACAAACAGTGCACATTACTAATTAAATAATATACAATTTAGAATTGTTATTTTCCTTGGAAACCACGCAGTATCTCCCACAGGGCAATTAGGAGAAAAATCCCTGTTTTTCTCAGAAGCAAATTGGATAAAACATAAAATGAGGTGTCAGGTGAGGTGACACCTAAAGCCTCGAACTGTTCTGACGTTTGTCTATGTCCACTCACTGGGCCTGTAGTTCTCACCTAGAATTTTACGTGCTGCCCAACTAATGACGTTGAGAAGGGCACTGTGGATGAAGCTCTCTCAGGGGTCGGCAGACTGCGGGGCCTGGGTCAGATCTGGCTCCCACCCCTTTTAAATTTAATTTAATTTTATTTATATTTTTGGCTGCATGGGGTCTCAGTTGTGGCATGCGGGCTTCTCTCTAGTTGTGTCGCATGGGCTCCAGAGCACGTGGGCTCTGTACTTTGCGGCGCATGGCTCTCTCGTTCAGATGCATGGGCTCAGTAGTTGAGGCGTGCAGGTTTAGTTGCCCCAAGGCACGTGAGATCTTAGTTCCCCGGCCAGGGATTGAACCCGCATCCCCTGCATCATTGGAAGGTGGATTCTTTACCACTGGACCACCGGGGAAGTCCCTCCCACCCCCTTTGGTAAATAAAGTCTTACTGGAGCGGTCCCATCCATTTGTTTACCTAGTGTCTGTGGTGGTTTTCTCTGTACAAAGGCAGAGTGGAGTAGTTGCAACAGAGACCGTGCCTCAATCTGCTGGGGCTGCCATAACAAGCAGTACAGACTGGGGGGCTTAGCTATAGAGTTCTCTTCTTACAGTTCTCAAGCCTGAAGTCTGCAGTCCAGGTGGCAGCAGGGCTGGTTTCTTCTGAGGCCTCTCTCCTTGGCTTGTAGACGGCCGTCTTCTTCGTGTCCTCACACGATTGCCCCTTAGTCTGTGTGTGTCTCTCGTCATGTGAGGGCATCAGCTGTATTGGATTAGGCCCCTGCCTAATGGCCTCATTTTACCTTAATTACTTCTATAAAGACCCCCATCTCCAAATAGTCACACTCTAAGGTATAGGGTTGAGGCTTCCACACATGAATTTGGTTGGGGGCACGATTCAGCCCATTATAGACCGAATGGCCACAAAGCCTAAAATACCTGCCATCTGGTCCTTCACAGGAGAAGCTGTTGACCTCTGTGATACACTTTGATTTCTCCTATAGAATACAGTGAAATACAACTCCAGATGAAACCACCGGAGTTCTTCTCCTCCCTTTTCTCTTCTCTCCATGAGCAGCATTGGTCACTGTGACAGTGTCCTGGGCCACGCTGCCACATCTCTGAGAAGAACTTTAGTGAATCCATTCCCATCAGAGACCCCAGAGCCACAGCCGTGCTGTAATGAGCTAAAACCTCCACCTTCTGGAAGAACCGTTATTTCCTTACACCTGCTGAGGCAGGAGATAGATGGGCTCCAGGCCAACTGGCCTCCTGGTCACACCTCCTGGGGGGAGGAAGAAGGTGGGCTCCAGGTCAGACATTCGTTACCAGCCCCCCGTTCACATTTCCTGAGGCAAGAGACAAACGGGCTCCAGGGTTTATGACTGGACTCCTGTCTATATTTCGAAATCTGCACTTTGATATGAAAAACAGCAACAGGAATAGGGTAGATAACCAGACATTGGGCACTTTCACAGCAGGGACAGAGAGGGGCTAAACCCTGTTGAAAGATCAAGAGGTTGTACACTTCCCAACCTTGGGGCGAGGGAGACA